CAGCCAGGTTCTCTCTATGTCCTGATGGATATGTCCGGGCTCCAGGAAAAGAGGGAGAGGCAGCCTCGCGCACCCAGAGCGAGACGTGTTTTGAGTCATGAATCACAGTTCATTTTCCTGGAATAGTGTGAAAAGAATGTAAACACTTTCTTTTTCATCAAGCTAGAAAACGAAAGCCAGAAAGGCTGAATGCAGCCCGCAGGCCAAGGCTGAAGTGAGTGGGCGTGGCCTGCGCACCGCAGTGGGCGGGGCCACAGGCCAAGACACCTGCTGAGCCCCGCCTTCCCAGGGGGCTGGCTCACCAGACACTCCACCGTGGGCCTAGATGGCCCTGTGCGTCGGGGGTGTGCGGTTGGTCGCTGAGGTCTTGCGGGCCCTCCATCCCATGCCCTCTTCCAGGGATGCATCCGGGGCCTGCCTGAGCCCTGACCAATCACCGGGGCAGAAGCTGGATCCTAGTGGTCCAAGGAGAGGAACAATTCCAACTCGGACTTCAGGGACAGCTGGGGCCCGAGGAGAAGACAGTCCAAGTTCAAGGTGCAAGCCCAGGGCCTAGGCTGGGGAAACCGAGTCGGTTTTGGGCCTAGAGGGCCAGAGGCTGCGCATGAACTGGGCGTGGGAGGCCTGGGTGGGGCGGGTCAGGATTCTGGAACCATTGTTCTTGAGGCATCGTCTCCTATGGCTTCTGCACGGCAGACCCGTAATGGGCTGGCGGTTTTGTCCTCAAGACAGAGAGTAGGATGTGACATAGCATATTTGAACAATAAAATGTTTAGAGGACCAGAGATTGTCCGTTCATCCCTTCCCTCGCTGAGTCATTCCTCAGGAAACGTCCACAGGTCTTCCTGTGGCCCGGGTCTGTGGCTGTTGCTCAGAAAGCAAAGAGGGAGCTGAGGACTCTGCTTAGACAAGCCCCCCGCCAGCGGAGCGATACGTTACCGGAAACGCCTAACCTCCCATGCGTCTAGAAGCCCCCCACTAGCCAAGGGGGCCAGCAGAGTGATAAATTACCGGAAACGCCTAACCCCCCATCGGTCAGGAAGTCTGAGGGCACCCTGGACACTCAAAGCCAAACACCTGGGCTGTGCTGTGCGTCACCAATGTAGCAAGCTATTGGGCCACAAGTCTAGTGAGACAAACTCAGCCCCACGCAGCACCCACAGGCGCTGCATGCAGAAGGCTGTGCAGTGCAGCTGCCAGCCGGGGCAGCCATCAGATTATGTCGGCAGAAGCTGTCTCAGGGCCCTGGGAAGGCATCATAGCTTTTATCATTGTCTACATCTCCCAGTCAATAGTTGCCCAGCTTGGGAGCACAGAATATCAAACAGCTCCGAAGCGAGCACAAGATTTTCTCCAGCTTTGCACCAAGAGCCTTCTGGGAAGGTCTTCATGGGAAATAACCAGCAAATAAGTGACGGGATGCTTTGAAAAAAAAATAAATAAATAACCAAGTCTCATCTTACAATTGGATGGGAGTATTTCTCTTGAGGGCAGGTTGGTGTGTGCGTCTGTATTTTTCCCGAGGCCTCCTGTTTGGGCCATCTGTACTCTCCATCTCCATGAGAAAGCAGCAGTCGATACTCCGAGAACCCGAGCATCCTTCTCAACTCTGCACAGCCCCTCACTCTGAGTCTTCACCTGTGCCTTGTGTGTGCCGCCCCTTAGTTAAGCAAATAGCGGTTGCTCAAATACTTACTTAAAAAGGTGCTTTTAATAGTCATTCACAAGGTCCAAACTGTAGAGGGAAAGTGCGTGAGATCTGACGACATGAAAATTGAAATTCTTTTAGGTCAGAATAAAATTACAAGGAAAATTGGTCAAAAAGTGAAGAAAATGCCTGCAAAATATGTCCCAGACATAAGGGTGAACATAGATGTTAGAGCTTCTGCAATTAAATAAAAAATCATGGGAAAGAATGAAGTAAACAGCAACTCATAAAAGACAAACTCTAAATGAGGAAGAAAGTGTTGAACCTCGTTCATCAGAGTAAAACAAAATCATAACACCCATTAGATATGCAAAGCCTAAAACAAGAACTCACATCCAGTGCTGGCAAGAAGCAGAATGGGAATTCTTGCTCCCTATGGGAGAGTATTTCGTTTAAAAAAAAAAAAAGTTCTGGGGACAAGTTTAGCCATATAATTGAAAAACGCTAAAAAACCACATATGTAAGAATTTGTTCTAAAGAAATTATGAAATAAATGTTCTCCCTTCTACGAATTTTTAACGCAAAACAAAGATGCAGAAATTTAAAATGTCTGGTCGTCCATCTGTGCTTCACAGGAAAACTAATTAATTTATCGAATGCTCATTTTGTGCATCTTCTAGGCCGTTCGCATGTACTTATCTAATTGTCACCAAGAAGAAGTCTTCGAGGCGGTACTGTCCTCATGACTTGTGTTTTCAGCAGAGGCCGAGCACGGTGGAGTTCACGTCAGGTCGTGCCGCTGATAAACACCACGTAGATGCTTCGGTTCTTGATCCTGGGGGGTCACCTTGCGCTCCACCGAGTCTCCCACTGGTGCGGGTGAAAACTGGACCTGACAGACGTGCACGTTGCGAATACATACAGCATCCTCAGCCTGTGAAATCCTGAGAAATCATGCCTTAGAAAAGTACTTATCCACAGGGGGGTGGACTCGTAATTGCCAAGTGAAAAAACCAAGAGGGCAAAAAAGCCTGTCGTTTGGTACAGTTTGGGCTGCACGTGAATCATGTCAACTCCAAATACTTTCATTTGAGGTAAAAACCGAGTTTAATGCGCAAAATTCAAAATAATCACGGTCATTCCGAGTGAAAAGTTAATTTCAAAGCCTGCAGGCCCACGGGATTATAAATGGGAAACTGAGCGAATCAAGCTGTGCGGCTTTACGCTAAGATGCCTTGCAGAGTCTGAGCGTAGTGGTTTGGACAATAAGCGGGACCATCTTCGGCCTTGGCTTATGAAATACAAAGGCGCGGTGGAAATTTAGACACGCGCGTTGGCTTGTCCCATGCTGTTGTTTAATCGTTCACCGTGGCCGTAATTCAGAATCTCATATCCTAATCGCTGTCCTCCTGCATGCATGAGATGAAACACGTACCCCAAACAATCACGTGGACGTAACAGCCAGCTTCGGAGACGCCAAACCCTTCCCCTCCCTGTCTGGCCCCCAGTCCACGTAGCAGAACTCGCCCCCAACAAAGCGTGGGACAGAGCGCCGAGGAAGAAAGGCACGTTCAAACCGGCCCGCCTCCAACAAGGGTCGTTGTCACCAGGCTCCTCGGAGCCCTCGGCGAGGCCCTCGAGCCCAGGCGGCCGAGGGCGCCTCTCCCCTGGGTAGCCACTGGAGCGCCCTCCGCCCCGGACAGCTAAGCAAGGACCCCTCCCGATCTTCCTTCCGTCGGCTCCCTCAGCCCGCACACCGGCTGCCGCCCGCCCCACGTCGTCTCGCGAGTCCCGTCAGCTTCTCTTCTCGTCGCAATCGTCTCAAATAAAATCTGTCCTGCTGCGTTGAACGAGTTTCTGGTGGACAATGTCTCCTGAACTTTAATTTCATAATATTTGTTAAAAAATAAAAAAAAAGAGAGAGAAAACAAGGCTGAGATCATGGCAAACAATGGAAGAAGTCCTGGGAATAGAGCAAGAGCATCACCCACGCTCTTCACACCAGACGTGGACTTGTCCCCAGGAGAAAGTCAGCCTTGCATTCCGAAGCTGAGAACGAGGCAGAGATTCGGAAATGCATGTGCATCGTCTCCGACGAGTACAGGAAACGCTCTGGAAGGACCGGCGCCAGTGTTTTGAGTGGCAGGATTCTAGGCGGATGTTTTTCTTTGTGTTGTTCAAGTTTCCTGTTTGGAACATAGACTCGATTCTTATTGTTCGTGGATTCCCGACGTGGAAACTCACCTACGCACTGAAGCTCCTTGGTAATCCTGAAGTCAGCGCTCGTGGTGCTCTGTGGTCACTCACGGATGGAAACGGAGTCACCCAACGTGCTTCTCCCCAGCTGAGCTCAAACAAGGCACTGTCCTGCCTTGTTTCTGCAGTGGTCAGCTTGGTGCCACTTGCTTCCCATTCTGCCGGTATTCTAGGTTGTGTCACTGTTTAGAATGACCTGCCCATGCCGTGCTAACGTGCCGTCCAGGGCTCCCACATGCAAGAAGCCTGGGATTTGCCTTATGCAGAAAGTACACGTCTGGACAAGCTCCATTCAGGCATGAGTTATACTGTGAGTTCAAACTTAATGAACCAACACTTATTAAATAAAATGTTTTAAAAGAAGCACATTAAAAAGTTACATATTGATTGGTCAACAAAAATGCTAGCAGAGACTTGCAGAGACCTAAGCCCGCATGTCCTCGGGCACAGTGGCTCAGAGTTCACACTGATTTGGTGCTCACGGAGACTGTACAGACCCCAGCTGCCACATGGGACCAGGGGCTCGTGCGTCACTTACGTGACAAGGGACGAAAGCGTTGTTTCCGAAACGCAGGTTGTCCGTGGAGACGTGTCTGTATGTGGGGATGAATCCAGAGAAAGGAGGCAGAGTCTACCCCTGATGGGTCACGCTGCCCCCGCTCCGGGCCGAGCGCGTCACGCACGCGTGTGACTGTGCCCTCACACCCTCCTGAGACCACCGTATCATCTTCACCTCTCAGATGAGGCGAGAGGCTCAGATGGTTAAAACCACTCGTCTCTGTCCAAAGGCCAAGGCGGCACTTGGACCACTGGTTGTCGTTACCCTTGGGACAGACCACGAAGGTAACCGTGTGTCACCTGGGCAGACGAAGAAAGGACGAGGCGTCTTTGGTTGGAGAAGAGGCCGCATCTCACCGCAGTCCCCCGATCCAGCGCCGCCTCCGCGCCGTCCCGACGTGGGAGGAGAGGGGGCCCCCGGCGTGTGGGGCGCGGCCCGGGCAGCCCCGGCAGGCAGCCCGCTTGCGCTCGCCCCGCTGCGGTGGAGAGGGTGTCATGTTGGCCGACGGATTTCTTTTCTCTCCCCGTGCAGTTTTCGCCCGTGACAGAGCCGTCATCATGAACTCCAGCGAGTTCCGAAGGAGAGGCAGGGAGATGGTGGAGTACGTGGCTGACTACCTGGAAGACATCGAGAAGCGCCAGGTCTACCCCAGCGTGGAGCCTGGCTACCTGCGCCCGCTGATGCCCAGCTGCGCCCCCCAGGAGCCAGACGCGTACGAGGATATTATGAAGGACGTCGAGAAGATAATCATGCCAGGGGTGAGTGTACGAGGGCGGTCCCGGAGGACCAGCGCTTCCGGGGCCCCTGCGGGCGTCGGGCGGCTCCCCTGCGTCCCTTCACCTGATCCTCGCAGCCCCGCCTCGGGCAGAACCCTTAGCGTCTCCAGTTTTCAGCGGAGGCAGCGGAGCCCCAGAGAGGTCAGAGACTAGCCTGAGGTCACAGAGCGAGGGCGATGGAGCCAGGACGGTGACCCAGATCTGTGGGTCCTGAAGGCAGTGAGTGGGCCTCCGCACAGCTCCGCACGTCCGTGTCCCGCCCCGAGACCCTGGGACACGCGACGCCATCGTGGTTGCGGGAAGGAGCCCCTGGCGGCTGGTTTCGAGTAAGCCCGTTGCTTGAAGCATATGCCTGACATTTTGCGTTTAGCAGAGGGTAAGTCGCACGTCGGGAAGGAATGCTTTGTTTTATTTGAGAATGGGCGCCGTGGATGGCTCTGCCCAGAGGCTGACCACCTGAAGCCAGTGAGTCACAGCTCTCTGTGTGGTGCCCGTTGGGGCCGCATGCAGGGGTGGACGGGACCCAGGGCCAGCGGTCCCCCCAGATCCTCTCCGGGGGAGGCGGGGCAAGTGGGTCACTGGCACAGGAAAGGCACTGCAGCTTCGAGTTTCCATGGAAAGGTCTGCCTGCCTGAGAAGCCACCCGAGGCATCGCGGGGCGAGAGCAGTCTCACTCTACACACCCCCCGACCCCCCTTCCCCCCGCTGTTTTCAGACGGGACTCGAGGCCGATCCGATCGGCAGCGTGGGGCGGGGCGGGGGCGTCCAGCCCTGGCCCTCGCCGCTCGCCCCCTCGCACCCGCCCTTGTGCTCCCTCCCTCCCAGGCGAGCCCCTGACATTTGCGCTCTGAGCCAAGCGCAGGGTTCAGCCCTCACCTAGAGGCTGTGCAAACACGCCAAGCGCTGAGCCCCGGCTCACGGCCCCCGGGGAACAGTAAATGTCAGGCAGCGTGGGGTCCCCGCTTGCTCGGCTCCTCTGTACCAAATGCCCCGGCCGCCGGCTCCGGCAGCAAACATTCAACCCCCAGGGCTGGGAGTCCGGTCCGATCGGTGTGCCCACGGACCGGCCGTGCTGGCGGTTCTCGTCCCGGCTTGCGGATGGCCGCCTCTGCTCTGCCGAGGCCCTGCCCTCATGACCGCTTCGAACCCTAGTCACCTCCCAAAGGCCCCGGCCCCTAATCCCACCACACGGGGAGCACGGTTTCGACACGGGGAGGTGGGGGGCACAGGGACTGTGGCTTTCTCCCCACGCAGAGCTGTGCTGTCAGGTGCACAGGCTGCGGGGCAGGGTCCCTGGTGGGCGGTCCAGCCCTGCTGCTGGCCAGCCGTGTGACAGTGGTTGAGAGTGTGACCCCAGTCAAGACTCACCCCCTGTTCTTTCCGGGCGTCAGGGCAGGTGGGGGAGGCCACAGTGAGGGGCCTCCAGCCCCAAGGGGCAGGAAAGCCTGGCCACCGCCGGCCCTTGCCCCTTCCCCCGCCCCGGCCCCCCACGTAGACGTGTGGAGCGTGGTGCCTTCTGAATGCGTTGCCGTGGAGATGGGTATATGAACATTCCAGAGTAAAGTTTTTCTTTGACCTAAATTTTCCTTTTTCTCTTTCTGCTTTTCAAAAGGAATTTAAATGTTCTCCAGGCCCCTAACACACAGGCCACTCACGGCCCCCAGGGCCCTGCCCCAGCCTCTCTGTCCGGAGCCCCCAACCCCGACTGTGCTGAGCAGCCCCAGACCCCTCCCCGGCCCTCACGGTCCCTCTACTGAGACACCGCTGCCTGAGCGCCGCCCCCCCAAGGCCCTTCCGCACCCTCGCCTGGGACACGGGGTGGCGGAGATGCAGAGGGACCCCGGCTTAGGTCCCAGGGGCGCCCGCGGCCCGCCGAGTGCTGGCAGTCCTGGGACAGCACACGGCCGGTTCCCTCCACATGCCAGGAAGGGCCCGTGAGGGGAGTGACCAGCAGGAGTAAGGCCGGCCGGGGAAGCCTCGGAAATCAGGCGTTTCATTTTTTTTTTTTCTGATAGAAACCTCATTTCTGCGGGGCCGCTTCAGAAGGGCTGGACGCTCACACAGAGGGATGAGGCCTGAGGCGCGAGCCGCCCCAGCAAGCTCCCGAGCCGGGGGCCCTCACCCCGGGGCTCCCCGCTGACCGCCCATCTCCCCCACAGGTGACGCACTGGCACAGCCCGAACTTCTTCGCCTACTTTCCCACGGCCAGCTCGTACCCGGCCATGCTCGCGGACATGCTGTGCGGGGCCATCGGCTGCATCGGCTTCTCCTGGGTGAGTGGCGGGCTGCCACGGGGTCCTGCCACGGGGACCTGTCCTCAGGGGGTGTGAGCAGGCGGCCACGCGCCCCGGGAGAAGAGAGGGTGCCTCGCAGCGAGGGAGATGCAGGGGAAGGGGAAGGTCATCAGCCTGGGTCTCAGGTTCGACGAACGCCCGTGTCCCCCACCCCATCTGCCCCTGGCCGGTGGGGCCTGCTGTCTGGGACAGGCCCCTGCCCTCGGGAGCGCCTGCAGGGTGGGGCAGAGCAGGCGGTCAGAAATAGGGCCAGCCCCCCTCCACCCAGCAGCCCGGCCCCACCGCATCCGGGGACAAGCACCCGAGGGGGCCCTGCTCAGGGCGGGCGGTCAGGCAGGCAGGCAGCTGGCCCTTCCTGTGTCTCCTGCTCCCAGCAAAGTCTCTGCCCCCAGACACTAGCCCGCACATGGTCCCAGGCAGCTCCGCCCGCAGGGGCTTCAAAGCGAGGGTCTGCCCTTGGCCTTTGGGGTCCGGAGTGTCCCCTGCCTGTGCCTCAGAGCTGAGTGGACTCGTGGTGTTGACTCATGTTGAATTGGGGCCCGAGGCATAGAAAGGAGAAGTCTGTCTATGAGGGCACGGTGTCCCACAGTGGGAGGCATGTCTGCCCCCGCCCCCCATGTGTTCGGAGTAGCTGGGGCTTGGGGTCAGCAGCTGCAGCCCAACAGGAAGGGCCGGGGGCGCCCAGCCCCGCGCCCAGCTCTCTGACCTGCCGGCCGTCAGGCGCCCGAGGCCTCCCCGTCTGCTGGAGAGCAAGCCGGGCACGCACGACCTTGCCTGGTCACTGCCGAGCCCATCCTCGGAGGGCATTTTGTGTCCTTAGACACCACAGCAGATTTCGCTGGTTCTGCTGATCCAGACCCGTCCTGTCTTTCCAGGGACCTGGCTTTCATCTCCTGGTGTCTGTCCCTTCTGAGGACAGTCTGATTTCTCCAGGGCCTAGCGGGGCAGCCGTCCTGTCTCTAGGCTATTGTGCTGGCCGAGGCCAGGGTCCCTTGTGGTGACGGGAGGTTCCAGCCTGGAGCTGGGCTGGAGGGGCCCTGGAGGGGCTGACGGCAGGAGAGGTGCGTCAGCCTGGCCAGGGGTGTGTCGGGAGCGGTGCACACGGGCCGTGGGATCCTGGGAGCCACAGTGCATACCACGTGGAGGGGACGGCTCGACCGTCCTTGTCCTCAGTGGGGCCAGGCCGCCCTGCTCCTCCCTTGTGCAATGACAAGCAAGTCTGTGGAGTGCCCTCCTGAAGGCTCCCAGCCAGTGAGCTGCCCAGGGCCCCCAGAGGACAGTCTGCCCGGAGCCCGCCTCTTGACCCAGGCCAGTCCCGCAGACTCACGGTGGCCATGGAGGCGAGTGCAGCAGGGAGCCTTTCTGGAACCTTCAGTAATTGAACAGATGTCCAGCGGGGCAGCATGATTGCCTGCCACGCAGCATGGTTGCCCCCGTGGCCTCTGCCCTCCTCCCCGTCCAGCCTCCCACGAGTGCTGGCCCAAGGGTGCCTACTTAGCGAGTGTTCAGGGCCTTGGCCCCTGGGGTCGGACGGTTTTAACCTGGGTTCAGTGGGAGGCTACACCTTGATGCCGCTCCTGAAATTCTGCAAGACCTGGCCCCTCGTTCCAGCCCCAGCCCCTGGAGAATTGTGGCAGAGCAGGGTGGGGGCAGGAGGATGACGTCTCCAGGGACCTGAGGCTGATGAGGTCACCGGTAGACGTGCACAGCCCACACACAGCGGGCACATGGCTTCCTGTGGCGGCCCAGGGGCCTGGAGCGTGCGAACCCCTCCATTCCCAAGCGTCGGGGAGATGAGGACTCCTATGGGCCAGGCTCTTGGCACCACGCCAGCCCAGACGGGCCCCGTGAGGCCTCCAAGCCGCCGGGGCACGGGGACCTGCTGGTGGCCCGTCTCCACTGCCGCTTCTCCCTGGGACTCAGGATGCACGTCCTCCCCTCAGCTCCCACCCATGCCGGGCCTGCTGGAAAGCTTTAAAAGCTTCTGTGGAACTGGTCAAGTCTAAGGACGAGCAGGGACGCAGTTACCCCGTCCGTCCTATCCGTGCACCGCAGCTGACGGGACGCGGGGGGCAGCTGGCCGGTGCGTGACGCCTTTCCTCCCTCCCGTGACAGGCCGCCAGCCCAGCGTGCACGGAGCTGGAGATGGTGATGATGGACTGGCTGGGCAAGATGCTGCAGCTGCCGGAGGCCTTCCTGATGGAGAAAGGTGGCGAAGGGGGCGGGGTGATCCAGGTAAGACGCGGGCGTGTGGGAGTCCGGCCCGCAGCAGCATGCGTTCTGCAGAGGGACCACGGCCGCGGCGAACAGGGGAGCTGCTGCTCCTGGCCGTGTCCTCATGCTTCCCCTGGAGAATGAGCAAAGCCGAGCTGTTGGGACAACTGGATCTAGATTTGTCTCTGGGTGCTGTCTCCCCGGGCTCCCCAGGGCCCTGCTCATGGCACACAGGATGGTGATTGCCACTTGGCAGGTGCCTGGCAATATAAACAGCAACTCCCGACGTTTGCATTGTGTGCCCGTTGCCAGCCACTGGGCCCGGGCATTATTCACTTAAACCTCACAACAGCGGTGGGAAGCAGGGGACATTTGAATAGCCCTGTTTTATAGGCGGGGAAACTGAGGCACTGAGCAGGGAGGTCACTGGCCCATGAGTTCCCAGCCGGGGTTGGAGCCCACATTCATCTGACTACAGAGCCACGATCTCCACCACCACGTAGGGCTGTCCTCAGTGTGATAGTGGCAGCTGTGGCCACGTGCTACGAAGTTTTCTAGAAGCTACATCGTGGGAGCCAGCAGCTCACCCGCAGACACTGCCTTTCCTATGCACCGACTTCATTCACTCTCTGTATTCGACATGTACCATTGAGAGAGACCGTGTGCCACCGCGTGCATCCGCAGACACGACCGACACAGTGACGGGCATGGCGGGATGTCCGCTCCGCCGGGATCTGCAGGACAAAGGCCACTAAGAAGACCTGGGCCGAGCACCCTCGTGGCCTGGCTGGGAGTTCAGGCTCTGCTGAAGCCGTCACACCCGTGTCATCTCTTCTCTCGTGTCAAAGCTGTGATGACAACATTGGGAAGCACCGCTTACTCAGGAAAAAAGGAGATTCTGTTTTTCAGACACTGTCTTCGGAGAGGCTCCGGGGACTGGCGAAGGCCGCGTTGCTCCGCCCACTGCCCCCGTGAGAACGCCGAGGCACGGGCCCCCCGCCGGCTGGTGTGGCGAGCAAATGCACAAGCCAGCTTCTACCTTCCAGTCCGGACACCCCACGACCAGACCCGAGCCTCAACTCCACGTGTCAGTTTCCTGTGGCTGCTGCACCGAACGTTAGTGGCTTAAAATAGACCCCTCATCTCACAGTCTGTAGGTCAGGAGTCCAACACGGGTCCCACTGGGCGAAAATCAAGCCTCACACACTAGAGGCTGCAGGCGAGAGTGTTTCCTTGACTTTTCTAGTTTCTAGAAGCTTCCCGCATTCCTTGTCCATGGCCTCCTCCCCCAGCTTCAAAGCCAGCAGGGCTCCATCTCTCTGACCCATCCTTTGCAGTCATGGTCACTCATCCCTCTGACCGCAGGCGGCTCCCCACTTTTAAGGATGCTGTGATTAGAACGGGTCCAGCCAGATAAGCCAAGATAATCCCCGTGTCAAGGTTCTTAACTTAATCTCATCAGCAAGATCCCCTTTTCCATGAAAGGTGACTAGTCACAGGTTCCAAGATTAAGTCATGGACATCTTTCGGGGGGCCCTTATTCTGCCGGCCACATCCAAGATGTGCTGTCGCCGCGGGAGACTGGACTCTGCCCCTCGTGATGGGATTCAGTCGGTCGAGGACGGGTCCGGGGGCCTGCGTTCTCACGGGCACCTCGGGGCATTCCCACGCAGAGACCCCAGACCCACTTTGCCGAGCGGGCCATGTGCCGTGACGGGCGGGCTTCTCTGCGACCAGCCGGCTGACGTGGCCGGGCTCAGGCCCACGGCCTCCGTCCTCAGCCTTTCCGCCCACATCACCGATTCTGAGCGGGGCGCCGGCGGGAACACTGGGCTCTGACGCGAGCAGAGCTTCCGTCTGGTGCCGCGCCCCAGGCTGGACCCACGCGCGGCAGCGCCGAGGCCCTCCTCGCAAGCACAGCGTTTCCGCTCCCAGACAGCGGCCTCCTCGTCACAGTCACGCAGCCCGGCCGACCTCCTCGGCGGAGACGGGACTCCAAGGCGGGACGCCACGCACCCTTCTGGCCTAGGGGAGGGGAGGGAGGCCGCGGCCCAGTCCACACCCCGTCTGTGCCCCGTCAGCTGACCTCCTCCTGGTGGGGCGGGCGGCCACTGCTCCCAGTCCTGACACTCCAGGGGACGTGGAGGGGGTGACGTGACACCTCTCTGCAGCCCGAGTGTCACAGCAGACGTACTTGTTCTTTATAAATCCACTGTTTTGCCACGATCTCCCCTTTCCACGTGTTCCATTCCTTGGGGACGGCCCCGCCCCAGCAACTGGCAACCCCGTGAGTCCGAGACACACTGTTCCTCCACGGGGACGTTGCTCCGTCCTGAGCCAGGCGGCCGCGTGGGGCGCCTGCCCGTCCCCCGGGGGCGTTCCCGCGCCCAGTCGGCGCTGCGCCCGCAATGTCGAGCCGTCTTTTGTTATTTCCCTTTCTCGTCGGCTCCTCTACATTTTGGGGGAGTTTCTCATGGTTTTCTCTAAATCGTCGTTTCAGTTTTCCACTTTGCCACTTTTTTGCCTTCGATGTCACCGTTGGTTTTGCTACTTCATTTTTAAAAAAGTATGACCCCCTTTCTACTCGTGAAAGCCGACCGTCACGGTAAAAATGGGAGAACTGTGGGAACGTGCTGGGGGTCACCTCCTCCCGGGGTTACCTCGCCGTGTGTGTGGTGTGTGTGTGTGTGTGCGTGTGTGCATGTGTGTGCATGTGTGGTGTGTGCCTGTGCACGTGTGTGCATGCGTGTACATGCGCATGTGCGTGTGTGCCTGTGCACGTGTGTGCATGTGTGTGTGCGTGTGTGCATGTGTGTGCATGTGTGGTGTGTGCCTGTGCACGTGTGTGCATGCGTGTACATGCGCATGTGCGTGTGTGCCTGTGCACGTGTGTGCATGTGTGTGTGCATGTGCGCCTGTGCACGTGTGTGCCCGTGTGTGTGCGTGCATGCGTGTGTGTGCGTGCGTGACGCGTGTGTGGTGTGTGTGCGCCTGTGCACGTGTGTGCATGTGTGTGTGCGTGTGTGCATGTGTGTGCCCGTGTGTGTGCATGCGTGTGCGTGTGCATGCGTGTAAACAAGCTCCGGATGACATGATACATGATCCGGAGCTTCTGTGTGGGGCTTCACTTCCTACTTTAGTATGAGCATTTCTGGTCACTTAACTGTTTTTTGAGAACATTATCATTGCGTGATTTGCTGAGATGTGTCGCCATTCATATAAATGATATGAGATACGTTGCATCGAAATGTTCACTCTTATCAGTAGCGTTTCGGAGGACGGCCTTTAGGAGAAGCTGCGACTAGATTCTCAGAGCACCGCTTCTCGCTGGGTGCTCCTGGCTGAGTCCACGTTCACCACCCGGGCGACACCCAAAATCAAAACGCGAACAGATGGAGAGTGTTTCTGGGTCACCGGAAGTTACGACTAACACAATTTGCTTCCAGTTCTTTCCAGCAGCCCAAGAAGCTACCTTAATGTGACACTGCCCGACAACCGCACCCCCGCCCCGTGACCTAAGGAAGCCGAGTGCGGTGAGGGAGACCGTGCACTGAGCGCCGCCTCCGAGCTCGGCCTGCGGCAGCTTCTTCCTCGGGCTTTAAGCTCTCGCTTCTCGGCCTCAGAGATCACCGAAGGCTGACGGCATCAGAGGCGGCCCCTTCTGAGCTGCGAGCGGGGCCCGCGAGGCTTGCACCAGCTCGCCCCTGACCACGGCTTGGGTCCCGACGTGTTATCTTTTCCTCGAAGACAATCCCACTGTCCAGAGACCACGGAAATCCTGGCATCTCTTGCCCCGAGTGCATCCTGGCATCTCTTGGCCCAAGACCCAACACACTCCCTCTTTGCAGCCGATCCGCTCGCTTCACTCGACGAGAGCAGGCAGAGCGTGTGTGTGTGGCAGGAAGCTGCCCTTCCCGGCGCACGAGGCTGATTGTCTGTAATTGGTGAGGCCCCGAGCTTGATGACAGCCTGACAGCGTAGGGCCCCAGCTGCAGGGGACGCTGAGGCCCTCAGAGCTGCCAGCATAGAAGCGGGGACGGGTGTCTGGGTCACATGGTGAGTCATCCTCTGAGCTGGACAAACAGGGCTGCGAAATGGTCTCTTAATTGGGTTTGAAAGCTCTCGTGGAAGAAAGCTCTCGGCCATGTGTGGGGCGACACTTGAATGCCCAGGAGCTGAAGGGCCATTTCTGCCCCCACATCAGACCCAGCTCCGCACCCGCCAGTGCCTCTCTGCCTCTTGGCGGGCTCGCCATGGCAACCTTTGTCTGCCGGGTGCAGCAAAGGTGTCATTATGCTCTCAGCACAAGCACAGTGGCCCTGCTCCTCCCTCGGCCAGGGCTGCTCCCCAGGGAGGCCGGGATCGATTCTGCTGCCCTCATTCGGCTGAGGTGCCGGACGCTCGACTGACGCGTGTGTCACTGGGAGCCTCTCAGAATCACTCTTTGCTGCCTGAAGGAGGGGACGCTTGTCTCTGCACATGGACACAGCCCACCGGAAACCCCCGAAGGGGCGCATGGTGACCCAAAGCCTTTCCGTAGAACATGGCTCGGCGGACACTGGACATTTGTGGGTCTGTGGGGCCCAGGCCTCAGACAGAGGGTAGGGTCTGGAGAGAGGCTGCAGCCCTGTGCGAGTGCTGGGTGAGGAGGGGACCCCATCCGGGGCGGTGCCTTCACCCCGTGAGGGCCACTGCGGCAGTGTGCACAGCATGCGGGGCACAGGGGAGCAGGCCCCCGGGGGCGTGCGGGTGCTCCGGTGGCCGACGGCTTTGCGGCCAGGCGTCTTGGCCCACATCTCGCACTGGGTGGTCTAACACACCTAGAGTCACTGCTAGCGAGAACACGACTCAAGGACACCGCCAAACCCGTTTTAGAGGCTGAACGAGGAGGATTATGTACACGTCCGTGCGTCCGTGCACCGAGAGGCAGAACCACACGTAAATGCATTCGCCTTTACGTCTGGCCTGTCTTCCCAAAGGATACGGGTTGGCTTAAAAGAAGTAAAAGCGTTGACTCGGTAAATAAAAATCGGTAGTCAGGATCGGCGAGGGGAGGGTAGCATGTCCACCTGAAAAGTCAGCCTCTCAAACCCGATAAGCTTCTTTCTCAGAGTCAACGAGAATGAACCTCTTAAAATCTTTTCTGCCCAATGTTAACCCCATGCGGCTCACGGGGTTCTTCCAGGGTGTCCTTGATTCTCAGTGAGTGTGAGCGGGAACGGGGAAGTCGCTCAGGATGCAGGGACACCCCCAGCCTGCAAGGGACACACGTGAGCTCCCCGAACTCTGCCCGTCGCTAGCCCTGCATTGGGGCGAGTTAGTGGACCTCTCTGAGCATCGGTGTCCCACCCAAAGATGGCACACTTGGAAAACGGGATCATCTTGCGAACTAAATGGGATGACAAAGCGGGCGCCGCATCCGCGTCACCTGTCACCCATGCCCGACCGCAGCAGCATAATTCACCCCATCCCCGTGGCCCGAGATTCCTGCCCGGGACATGCTGGGGCTATAGACAGTGCAGTGCGGAATTAATAATTAAAGCTCACGGGCCAGTCACAGGTGTCCAGAGTCTTTCTTTGTGAACGAGAGTGAACTTGGCAATTTCAGATTCATCTTTTCAGAAAAATATAGAGCTGATCGTCTGTCTCCCCACAGGGTAGACACAGATTCCTTCGCTGTGCGCTGAAGCCTGTTTCCATCTTTCCTTTGATTCAGGGCAGCGCCAGTGAAAGCACCCTGATCGCTCTGCTGGCCGCCCGGACCAAAGCGGTACGCCGCCTGCAGGCCGCCTCCCCGGAGATGACGGAAGCCGCCATCCACGACAAGCTGGTGGCCTACTGCTCGGATCAAGTGAGTGTGTTGGCTGGAAGCCTTGCCGAGTCGCCGAGATCTGAGTGGTCGGTGTCAATCAAAGCAAAGCAAGATGGTGA